GCAATAGGTAAATTTTGGTTAAAAAAATACGATAAGAAATTTGCAGATGAACTTTTTTTGTGTAGATGTTCTGACCTTTCAGGTCTTGCGATCAAAAACCTACCACATTATTACAAAAGCGCTTTACAATCGTGGTCAAAATTGACAAGTATCACACAGGGTATCTTTAACGAAATGGAAGTAAAGAAACAGCGATTATTTGGAAACTCAAATATTTTATTTCAGGGCAAATCTTTATTTTATTCTTCTTTTTCAAAAAGTCAAATAAAAACTATTGATGATATATGGGACAATAATACCAAAGATTTTAAATCGTGCAATGAAATATATCAACAACTAATAGATAAACGTAATTGTATTTCGGAATACTTGCGAATTAAAAGTTCCATACCACAAACATTCGTGCAGATTTTAAAAAACAACGATGTTCAACGCACTTTAAAAAGCCACAAAATCAAAATGTCTGAAAACCTTGAATTTCTAAATCCAGATAATAAAATCATTAAAATCAAAGATTTGACATTAAAATATCTACAGTTAAACATAAACATAACTGAGACCCCTAAGTGTCAAACAAAATGGGAAAAATTGTATAGCGAGTATATAAATTGGGAAAAAATTTGGCTAAATCTCAGTAAAATGGATATTAATAGAAAAGTTAAAGAATTTCAATGGAAATGTATACACAGGATTATATATACCGAAAAGAGACTGCAAATAATGCATATGTCAAATGGAAAATGTCACTTATGTGATGAAAATAATAATATTGAAACACTCGAGCATTTATTTTATCAATGTAATAATGTTAAACCATTGATAGAAACAGTTGTCAGAAATTTACAACTTTGTAACCTAATAAATAACGAGACGCTCGTTGAAAAAGATATTTTAATAGGAATCTGTACAGATAATTCGAATAATATAATTGTTAATGCAATAATACTTTATTTTAAATGGGCTATTTGGAAAATACGTAATAAATGCAAATTCGATAAAATTAAACTGAATATGCAGTCTATACAAAGCCTGTTGAAATTGCAAATGAAAAACGAATTAAAACTACTCTTGCTACGCTCGGATATAAAGTATATATGCAGATCAAAAATTCAACTCTTTATCGAAAAAATATAAGAAGATATACTTAGTTCTACTGCTCTAAACTAAAGGTGTGTTCGATTCCATATATAATAATCTTGTTGTATTATAGAAAGAACGTAGTGAACAATAAGTTATTTTTACAGAAAGAAATATTTGTATTGTAATCGATATTTGAATCTATGTCTGTGCATATTATGTATATTAGTAAATTACCACATATATCATGCTTCTTAATACATTAGTACTTACCACATGTGCTTTATCCTTTTATAATCCATACTTATATATTACAGAATAATTTCAATTTTTGTTCAATCACATCAATAATTTCCAATTCAAATTTTCTCAATCAAATATATAGTTTTCAAGTTTAAATATTTAAAACACATGTTAGTCAGTGAACCGGATATACGATAGTGATTATGTATTACAGTGATGCTTAACAAGTAAAATCGATTGTATTGGTTATTTAAATATATGTATGTAAAACTATTGTAAGTTTAAATTCATTTGATTTTTTCCCTGGTCAAGTGAGGCTGTTAAAATACAGGGGCCCCTAAGTATGCGACCTGGGCTACTTAGGTATTTATATATCAGGAAATGATTGAATAAAAATATTTGTTATCGTTAAAAAAAAAAAAAAAAAAACTGGCTGCTAAAAGCGAATTATTATTTCACTATTTCACTTTCATTAATGTTTGAACAAATAAAATCTTTTTTTTTTTCTATATCTCGTAGCTAATGCCCCTTTAACGAGAATACGAATCATAAAATAATAAAAGTATTTGTTCTTTTAAAACGTAATTGATAGAAACATGCAAAAGTCGGATAGATTTAATTGAATATAGCTAAATCGCCAAATGAAATCGTCCACAATGCACAACTGAGAAACTGAGAAAGAGTATTCTGCCAGATTTTTGAGTTTTTTAAACTAGGAAGTGGCTATTTGCCGCCGTCGGCAAAATAGAAAATATGCTATTTTGTCGTCTTTGATTAAAATATTTTAATTAAAACAAGCAAAATAGCATATTTCGATAGCAATGACTATTTTGCCGCCGCCGGCAATATAGTGAATTTGTTATTTTGCCGGTTCTTTGTAAAGAGTGAATTTTATTATTTACTTGTGAACAATACTTCAAAAATGTGCATTCTCAACATAAAAGAATCAAATTATTATGCGACATATAGTTGAATAAGATAAATTTCACAATATTTGAGATATATATAATCGTTTAAAAATATTTATGAGTCCAAGTGAAAATATAAATTTATAAAAGAGTTGGCAAAATAGCATATTTTCAATTTTGGCAGCGCCGGCTAAATAGCCACTGCCTTTAAACTATCACTTTGTCTAGTAAAAAAGTTCTGGGAAATTATAAAAAGGATTCATTGAACCATTTTAAAGAATTATATTTCAATTTTTACAGATGACTACATATTTCATGGGCTTTAGGTACAATTAGAGATAGCAGTACTATGTACTGTGGTCAGTGACGTATGAATGGCAGTATTATATGAAACTATTGTTCATTCAAGTGTTTAATTCTGAATGTTGCTTTGCGAGTAAACATGTAATCCTCCGGAATGAGAATGATGTTTATGAGTGCACGTGTGGTTCTGGTGTCTGATGACTTTTGTACAATTATAATGTGTTCTATGATTATTGAAGTACATGTAATGCTATGTATTGTCTATACACAATGTTTATCTTTATCTGTGTTTTCATCTTTTACTTCTTTACTAGAAATTAACTTGTTTGTGTTTAAGTGAATCACGGTTTTCCTTCCATATACAAATAAGATGATGTGGTGTGATCAACTATCCTCATACTTTTTACGACTGTACTTCGCTCGCCAAGATATTTTACAGCTTTCAATCTGAATTCCTTCTTTCCAATAAAAAACATTCATTGCTTATGTTTTAAAATCCTTTATGACTTTTAATTTAATCTATGCTATAGAATTATGTTTGTTTACATAATCTCTGCAATTTCTATTTCGTGAATATCAATTCAGAAAACAAGTATTCGGGCCACTTATACAAAGTTTAATTGAAGCGCTTATGTGCAGCTTAAACCTTAATATTAGTAAGTTTCTGTTAATAGAGTTAAACAAAACAAAACAAAATATATTGATGAGATTCAAGAAATATTTTGTGCAAAAATTCTTGTGGTAAAATGATTATAAAGTTACTAGAACGTTAATGAAAACAATTTTAACATTACGCGCAAATGGCTAAAATATCATTGTACCTTGGTCTTTTCTGACGCCCTGGAAAATTATACAAACACACTTACAAGTCTAATGGTTATCGTTTTATGAACTACACTAGTTAGTGATCCTTCTGCAGTAATTCCGTCAATTTCTGAGACAGAGCCGTTTTTAACCCTTCGTGGCCCTACTCCTTTTAATGTATTAACATATTAGCTATAGCTTAAGATACTTACCAGCTTGAATTTATGTTCAGAAGTTCCTTTAGCAAAAAATCCAAATGTTTATATTGTGTCATTGTTTGTCAATAAAAACACTTAACACAATCATGTCAAACTTAACCAAACTATGACAAAATCACTGTACTAAACGCTCATCGATATGACGATGTTGCTACCCGTGACATAGACAACAACTAACTGGAGTTGGATGGGAAGTAAATACTTTTTATTTCACTGCACTCACTTCAAACTAACAACCTTTCACTGAAGCAATTAGTTAAAATATTTTACCAGTTGATCAGTTTGTTGGAGAAGAATTCAAACTGCAATTTGGTAAATTGTTTGAGCCATTGCTATTGTGATACCCCAAAGACTATTGAATAAGCACAGTAATCATCTTTAAAGTATGAGTGTATCTTTACCTGGGGATGAGAAAAAGCAGAAGAGTCTACACACTTAGATTGGTACTTGTTTTCTGCTTTACCTGCTTAATCCTTTTAATATGAAACAATTAGTTACTACTCACAGATTAGAATTATGGGTCAATAAAGAAAGATAATTCCAAGTTACAATATATGGCAGAAAATTCTAGAACTTTTTACTCTTTTCATTGTATTTGTTTTACATCTGGTCCCTTTTACATTTATTGAAACAATAACTGTGGTACTCGCTACTCTGTTTTAAAATAACAAGCTTTTTAAAAGACTGTTATAAATTGGTAGTATATGAATAAAAAAGCTAAAAAAGCAGAAAAAAATGAAGGGTCCATACTATGTGCTTGTTTTCGAGATATAAGCCATTGAAAATTTGGCGGGAAATAATTCTCTCTAGATTTTCCATATATTTAACATTGGCACCTTTTTTCTTTCAAAAACAATGAAAAAATAACAAGGATTTTATAAGATTTTCAAATATGGCTTTTTAAACTATATGTAATAAATTTATGAAAAGAAAAGTAGGGGTTAGCAGGCAAAATTTTTAATTTGCACTGCATGGATAAAACCAGAGGATTCCAAATATCTGGCAAAAAAATCAAAAACAAAAGGAGCGAACATCCTTAATTCTAAAAATCACAAAGTATTAAATTTTACAGGTGTCCTATAATCAGAATCATATTTGATTATACACCAAATCCAAGAATTTATATATCCAAAGTATATGTTTGTCATGGAAATATTTCAAAAAGGCTAAAATATATTGACAAACAATCTATTGAAATAGGTAGATATCTTGTTTACTGTAATTTCAGAAATTAATTAATGTATTGATTATTGCAAAACGCTGATTACTGGTAAAAAAGGCAAGATCTAATTAATGTTATGTCAAAAATTATGTGAAGGAAATCACTACTGAAATTGTGAGTGGCAGTGCAAGTTTTTATTATTGCAAACCATATACTGTTGCATTTTTCACATTGATAAAAATATCGCAATAATTTCTGAATTTACAGTTTTAACAATGGAATTACCTGAATTGAACTATCAATTCCCTGTACAGTTGAACTAATTCCTTGAATTGAAGTGTCCATCTGTAAAAAGTATGGGATAAAATCTATAAAGCTCTCAACTAAGACAAGTTGTGAAAGCTAAAATCAAATTGGTTACTATTCCATAATAGTCCTCAATGTGAGGACACAATTATGATTTGTAAACAAAATATCTTTCTGTTACGATAATTCAAAATGTTGCTTTTTGAAATATTTGACTGATCTAACCCATTTATAAAGTTTCTAAGTGCAGAGAACATAAGAACATGGATTTATTAAATGTTTTCATAGAACTGAATTAACAGGGAATTTCATGGTTTGAAAATAAAGATTGTTTACTCCAAGAAAATGCATCTCAAAAGAGTTGTCCATGTGGGCTAAATTGCATGAAATTTAAATCACTTTGTTTCTCATAAATTGAACTACATTTGTGAAATTGTCTCAGATTTGAAACAAGCAATCATAAACATGATAAATATCAAAAAGATATTCAGGAAAATTTTACTATACCACCTACTGAAATAAATTGGACATATTGATACAAAATTGTTTTGTCTAACTATACAGAATTATTCAGCATCTGTTTCTTTGTTTATTAAGATAAATACTATTTCCTTATTTGTTATATTCAATGGCAGATGCAAAAAAAAACTCCCATATTCATTAAACAACTGACCTTCAGGAAGTAACTGACAAACTTCATCACAAGTTGATTTATTCCCTCTTGCAGAATTTAAAGGATTTTGGATAATTTCACTGCATATGCCATTGAATATCACAAATAAATGAAAAATACTGTAAATTCAGAAATTAATGCGAGGTTTTTATTAATGCGAATAATGCGACTGAAAGAGTATCGCATTAATAAGAACTCGCATTCTTATATCTGATACATATAACTGTATGTACATTTTTCTGAAATCTCAATAATTAATCTTGCATTTAAGTCCTTTCAACAAAGTTCGCAATAATAAATGCACGCAATAATTTCTGAATTTACAGTAATGTTTTGCTATTCGATTTTTTTTTTTTTTTTTTTTAACACAATATTATGGTGTATATCAGATTATATTTATAAGGTTTAAAGGTAATGCATTTATGATAAAATGGTCCAATTATTGAATTTTAAAATTTTGTTTGCCAAAAAAAAAAATTGCTAACCTCATTTAGTTTCTTGTGAATATTCAAAAGATCTATACTGTATTTGCTACACAGTCCTTCATCAAGTGGTCTGTTCTCTATCCTAATGAGGTCATTTTGTTTATTTGAATCTAGCTGTAGGACGAAACTAGTCAGGTCTGTCCACAGGCTTTTATATTCTGTCTCAGTTATTTTACCCTCCGTGTTGTGGCTGAGATAATCATTCTTGTAGCGACGTAAGATGCGTATAGCATTTTCTTCAGTTGATCCAAGATTACAGCAGTTCAGTAATATCAAACCTGCCAAAGTTATATCAAGCGCATTTAGCTGAACTGGGTTTGCTGTGAACTTGCAATGGCAGTTGTGGCCATGTTGTCCTGGATTCTCAGTGTACAGCAGATTCCATTGACAGTATATCAGAGGGAGTTTAGAACTGTTGATACAGTTGGGTTTGTTCTTACAGCAGGTAGCATTTCGGTGTCGTAAGTGAAACAGTATGTGTATTACTGGTTGTGTGTTTAGAAAGTCTTGAAAAGACCCTAGACCTCTACTTGTGTAGTCATTTTCAAGTTTGGTTCTAAACAATGGTTGAACAATTTCCAAAATAACTGATCCTACAATAAAGTAGCGTCGACGATCTTCAACATCCATCCTGCAAGTAAAAAAATAATAAGTGTATATGAATTATCTCTTTTTATATATCTTTTTGAGAAAGGATAAATTTAAAAAATGTTCTCACCAGTTTTTCATTGGACGTGTTCTTGTACAATGTGTAATGGATTTCATGATGAATAAATTGTGTATACATCTTCATGAACTTACAGGGTGTATTTTTGTCAGCTAATAAAAGAAATCTGTTATGGTGTACCAATGAAATGGGGCTTTGTCTTCTAGGATGTGAGTCCTGCATCATTTCAATGTTGTGGTTAAAAGTTTATTTTTATTTACCATAAATGTGTGAATCAATTTGAAAATTAGTAATAACTCCTCCAAGATAGAGGTGTTGATTGTGATGCGAAATTTTTATACATATGCCAAAATAAAGTTTGAATTTTTATGAGATAAGATAATAAGATAATTTTATATATTATTAAAGTGTCACCATCCATTACAGTATCTATATATATAGAGAGAGACAAAGTCATAAGAACCTAACATTTAGTAAAAGAATGCCAGCTGAAAACAACTTATGAGACTATCATTAAAAAAGACATCTTATACATACATATAAAGACAACTTTTTTTACATGTATGTAAGTTTTTATACATATATATAATTTCTAGATAACTACATGTCTTCGTCAGTAAAACATAAAATAAAGGGAACAAGCTAAAAGACGAACCATATTCTCATTACAGATAAGATAGCAGAGTTTTCCAATATCTTATAAATAATCAAAATCAACATTTAAAAGACAGGCTTTGGATTACAATTCATGTCTGATATCAGAGTAAAAACAACAATTAACAAGAAAGTGTTTCTCATTTTCAAATTGTCAACTATCACAAAGAGTACACAAATGATCTTGAAGAGGCTCTGGTGGTCTAGCATATTGACCTGTTTAAACTTTAAGTTGTAATGAACCATCTCTTAATAGTGACAAAATACATTTAGGGGTTCAATAAACATGAAAATGTGATAGTGTTAGTGGGGCATGGTTCCTATAGTGTAATTAGTAATGTTCAATTGAACATAAATTTGTTTCAATTTTACCTGCAGTTATCATTGATGGATAATTGGGGGAAAAATGGATTTGTCATAGATGCCTTTCATGCCAAAAGCGAAAGTAGAACAAAATTAGAAGGGTAATTTGTTGTTGGTAAAGATTAAATTTTATTGTTCAAAATTAATTCAATGTTATAATGTCACACATCATTTACCTTTTAAATTAAATTATCTCATATTTTTTTTTCAACTTAAGCTAGCATCATTCTCTCCTTGTTAGAAGCCATTGATTGGAAATACCCTTTGCTATATGTAGTAACAATCACATGATATTGGAGTTCAGGTAAATTTAAATACCAAGTTGGAATAGACCTGGTATTGAACTATCATTTCTTAATATTGAGCTGAACTTTTATAAGGATTTAAAAGATAATGAAATTTAATCAAAGGGAAATCTTGGGTTTATGTTTATTTAAAACAGTTTGTTTAAGTAGATGTCAATAAAATTTATATTTAATGCTTTTCTTAAAAATAAGAATTAAAAGGTCCCTGAACATGCTGAAGAAAATTTTAAATGTGATATCCCGAAATCATGTTTAAATCTTCTATTGTTAAACAAGTAAAAGGGTTGAAGAAAGTCTTGTAAAGAAGTCTTGAAGAACATTATTTATTACAACTAGACAAACAATGCTAGAGTATGGGATTGATTGCATTCACCTTGTCTGTCTGTTTGTTTGTCAAACAAATATTTCTGTCACACAATTCTCCAATATCACTGTCCAGAAGGACTCTTTATCTAGTTAGCAGTATGACAGTGAGTTGTAACATGCACACATTTTCCGACCTGTCAGACACCAACTTTAATTTTCAATATGTTGTTTGAATCGTAAATTTTTAATCTTTCATTTCTCAAGTTCTGCAAAATAGAATGACTTCTTATCTGGTCAGTAGCTTCATAGGGATGATGTGCAATGTGTGAGCACTTTATGGAGCCGACAGACACCTACAGCCAATTTTCCATTACATTTAATTTTGAGTTGGATATGCTTATTTCTCCAATAAGTGTTTGATGTACCCCCCCTCCCTTGCTTACAGGAAGAAATAGTCTGTAATCCATTTCTTACTCTTTTTCCTTTTTCCCTTATAACCACAAGTCATAGTTTTTGTTCTCTTTTTGGATTCACAGCTCTTCATCTTTTGTATTTAAGATATAAAAACTTTTCAACACAAAATTCATTATTTATCATGTGGATTTTCACTATTATGTAGATTTGATATAATAAAATAAAGAATATCAATAACCATCTCATTTAATTTTCAGAAAGACAATAATGCCAAAGTGAAACAGATTAATCAAAAGTTGAGCCAAGTAGATGCTTCAGCTGGAAAACTAGAACAACTGACAAGGGAACTCAAGAGAGCAGTAAGTTTATTATTTGTCCAAAGTAATTATTTATTTGACTAATGTTTGTTCAAAGGTGTCACCTCGATGTAAATACTCAAATGTTACAAATCTTGAGTCAAAGAATCTTTATGCCTCGTTCACACGTACCTTTAATTCGAATTGAATTCGCATCGAATTCGTTAATGGCGTGCACATACTCTTCTTTTTTAATTCGAATTGATTCGAATTGGCTAAATCGCATTATCCAATTCGCATTAGAAATGCGTTTTTGTTAATACGAATTAAAAGTTAACATCGTTAGGACAGTCAAGCGAATTTGATGCGCATTTTGATTTGAATTATAATTTACATTTGGACGTAAAATGTTTCGAATGCAAATTAAACTTATTCGAATTAGTTAATGCGAGTCGAATTCGAATTACGTGTGCACGCAGCATTAATATTGGTTCTTTATATTATACTTCTGTTTTGTACTTTCATGAGAAACTAGACAGAACTTTGCAACATGTGGTGCAGGATCTGCTGGCTCTTCAGGGACATTTGATATCCCTCCCTTTGACTTATGAGTTTGACTATCTCCTTGGTATCTTCGATCTTTCTTTTGTTTTATTATAGGAGGTACATTATGAGTTGATTTTAAACAAAGCATGGCATTCCATATTTTAAACTGTTTCCTTTCACCTGCCACTCATTTTTCTTTAAATTTATTAATTTTTAAATTTGTAGCACTTCAAAAATGTTTTTTTTTTTTTTTTATATATATATATATAAAGTTGACAAAGTCAATTAAATTAGACAATTATATAGACTAAAGGGACAATTTAGTCTTTAGTATGAAGATTTTTGTGATCTTTGAGTAAATAGTAAAAAAATGCAGTTAAAGATCATGGTGTATATACTGTTTTTACCAAGTGATGATATTGTTGATTGGGATACAGAGATATTGTCATGTCTTGACTTTTCCTGTCAGCTAGTTAGGCTTGTGTTGTGATGGATGCTATATGTTGAAGTTTGGTCTCATTCCGTTTACAATATTTATTGGGGTATTAATTAGTCAGAATAAACAGTATACATGTACCTTTTGAGTCTTCTTCTTCTGGTGGAGCAAAGGGGAGTAAAAGTTTTCTCTCTGTTTGCTGTCTTTATGTACGAAAAGTTTTAGCACTTTTTGTCGAGCCTGCGATTTTTGTTGCAGAAAGTTGACATAGGGATAGTGATCTGGCAGTGGCGGCGGCGGCGTTAGCTAACTTCTTAAAAGCTTCATATTTTAGAAGGTGGAAGACCTGGATGCTTCATACTTTGTATATAGATGCCTTATGATACGAAGTTTCCATCTGTCACATGTCCATTGTCCTTGACCTCATTTTCATGGTTCAGTGACTACTTGAAAAAAAAGTTAACATTTTTTGTAATGTTAATTTCTCTCTTATTATGAGTAATAGGATAACTATATTTGGTATGTGCGTACCTTGCAAGGTCCTCATGCCCGTTAGACAGTTTTCACTTGACCTCGACCTCATTTAATGGATCAGTGAACAAGGTTAAGTTTTGGTGGTCAAGTCCATATCTCAGATACTAGAAGCAATAGGTCTAGCATATTCGGTGTATGGAAGGACTGTAAGGTGTACATGTCCAACTGGCAGGTGCCATCTGACCTTGACCTCATTTTCATGGTTCAGTGGTTATAGTTATGTTTTTGTGTTTTGGTCTGTTTTTCTTATACTGTATGCAATAGGTCTACTATATTTGGTGTATGGAATGATTGTAAGGTGTACATGTCTAGCTGGCAGGTGTCTTCTGACCTTGGCCTCATTTTCATGGTTCAGTGGTCAAAGTTAAGTTTTTGAGTTTTGGTCTTTTTTTCTAATACTATATGCAATAGGTCATCTATATTTGGTGTATGGAAATATTTTATGATGTACATGTCAGTCTTGCAGGTTTTATTTGACCTTGACCTCATTTTCACGGTTCATTGCTCAATGTTAAGTTTGTGTTTTGGTCTGTTTTTCTAATACTATAAGCAATAGGTCAACTATATTTGTTGTATGGAAGGATTGCAAGCTGTACATGTCTGCCTGGCATGGTTCATCTGACCTTGACCTCATTTTCATGGTTCATTGGTCAATGTTATGTTTTCTTGATTAAGTCTGTATCTTAGAAACTATAAACAATAGGTCAACTATATTTAGTGTATTGAATGATTGTAAGGTGTACATGTATTTCTTGTTTGGATTATATGACCTTGACCTCATTTTCTTGGATCATGTTAAGTGTATGTGATAGTTGTAGTAAAGCTTTATATTTAGGACTATCAACATAATATCAATGATTAGTAAAGAAGGCGAGACATTTCAGCGTGTGCACTCTTGTTTCAGTAATACTTCAATCTGTTGATTAGATATTTGGTATATTATCATACCATAAGAAAATTGCATGAAATCATGTGGGTTGCATACTTTTGTCTGAAATGCATGAATTATTTGTTTAGATTATAGAATTGCAAATGAACTAAAGAGTATTTATAATACCTTTTTCGTCATAAGATTATGTATTGGTTGTAGGAACATGACTTGAAGTCCACAGAAGGTACAGTAGACATTCCCAAACTGAAACAAGAGATTGACCAGCTAGCTAAAGATAAACTAGAACTGGATGCCAAAATCAGTCAACTTAGGTAAGTTATTGTGAATTTACATAAGAAAAGGTGAGTTTGAAATGTAGGAGCAAGTAAAATAAAAGAAGAGAAAGATTGATGATTGTTTAATGTCATTCCAGCTATAAACAAAGAATTACATAGTGACAAAAATAATAAAAAAATTTGATAAAAAATTAAGTATAATGAAAATGTAGAAATGATATTCAAGTTTATAGTATTTTATTTTTAAAGGACTGTCAATCAGGCTTTTGATATAATCATTGGAATGATACTGCTCACAAGTGTAATTAAAATTCACATCAAAATTTCATATACAATGAATTCAGAAATTATTGTGTGCATTTTTAAGTCTCCCAAACGAAGTTTGGGAAGACTTATTGTTTTTGCTCAGTTCTTATTATTATTATTATTCTTCTTCCTCTTCCTCTTCCTCTTCCGCCGCTTTTAAATTTGAACTTGTCCGCACCTGTTCTCCAAAACCGCTTGTCAGATTAACTTAGGGTTTCACAATATGTTAGACTATCATGTCTAGTGGTGCAATCATTGTTTTGTTTGTGCAATGGGGTTTATAAAGGGGTACTTTGAGGGGCAAAAACAAAAGAGGGTTTTACTATAGAACCCTATGGGATTTTATTTTTTTTAATTTTCAAATGATTATAAATTGAAAACCATTTGTGATAGACACAATCTTTTTAATTGAAAATGTTCTAAATGATAAAACTCATTAAATGAAATACAGGGTTAGTCCCCAGGGGTCACCCCCACCCCCTGCCATTTAAGAAAGTTCTAATACCTTGTAAGTGGTCAAGATCCCCACCCCTAAACCATATATATTCTGGTTTGTCATGCTAAGATGGTTTGAATGATATACAGGGTTAGTCCCCAGGGGTCATCCCGACCCCCTGCCATTTGAGAAAGTTCTAATATCTTGTAAATGGTCGAGATCCCCACCCCTAAACCATATATATTCTGGTTTGTCATGCTAAGATGGTTTGAATGATATACAGGGTTAGTCCCCAGGGGTCACCCCCACCCTATGCCATTTAACAAAGTTCTAATATCTTGTAAGTGGTCAAGATCCCCACCCCTAAACCATATATATTCTTGTTTGTCATGCTAAGATGGTTTGAATGATATACAGGGTTAGTCCCCAGGGGTCATCCCGACCCCCTGCCATTTGAGAAAGTTCTAATATCTTGTAAATGGTCGAGATCCCCACCCCTAAACCATATATATTCTGGTTTGTCATGCTAAGATG